ACGTGTTTGAGAGAGGCGGGGCATAGAGGACCCACAATAATGTACAGTATTTGAAAAAGAATGTGTTTTTTGAACATTAAAGCATGTCAACATATTCTGTTACACCAAATACTCAAGATAATGATCTTTAAAATAGCATCATATGACCCCTTTAAGTAATTTGCAGGTCTGGAAAAGTATGGGAAAAAAGAGAACAGAGTATAGAAAAATATTCCCCTTGATGCCCAAAGTGCACTTTTGTCAAGGCAATTTTTATTTTTTTTGTAATTAAACGCCCTTTTGTGAAGGCCTGCCCAATCTAACTATTAGTAAAATTAATGAACAATAATTTAGCCGTAAATGAAATGATCATAATGACCTTTCACCTGACGATCTCATCCGAGACGACCCCTCATGTTCAGACACCTTTAGTAATTTAGCGCGCTGCTGCCAGGATGCCTTCACTAACATCCGCGGCTGCCTGTAAGTGGAGTTCTCAGCGGAGCGGTGTGCTTATTTACTTATATTATTAAATAATTATTATTTTACAAGAATGACGTGAAGAGAGCATGCGCATCTGTTGTTTATATTGCTGTGTGTAACGTTAGCTGCAGCAAGGGGCTATAATATTTTTGTAAAACATTTTTCTAATGACAATTTTATGATTGGTTTATAAAGGCTTCTACGAACACCTTTTCCCATTTTTATCACAGAATAAGGCAGGACATATATTTTATAGTTTCTATACTAAATGATATGTCAATCAGTAGCCTACTGCATTATTCATATAGTTTATTTATTACCTGGAGATGACTTGGAAAAACACACATAAACCACACATTTCCGCAATCGTGTGTTTATTGTCTTCACATTTCATCAGTAAAAACATTTTTGCTTTTTATTCAGCTCAGCTACAGCAATAGCCAGATGCTTTTGTCCATATTAGGGATTTTCTGCACATCATAAGTTATTGAGTATGTTTTGGACTTTCTGTGCGAGAGCGCCCTCTAGCTTTGAATATGAATGAAACATACACTGCATGAGAGTGTTCAGCGCTCCTGATATTCACATCTCCTCATTTTGGATACAAATAAAACGTCAGGTTATGCAAAGACTATCGATTCTGTCTTTTTGAATTTAAATCTAGATTTAAATCTAGAAACCTCTAACGATGCACCGCGAGCCGGTTGAGTATATTTGCACTCTCATTTAGAGCTTCTGCTGTCTTTGTTTTGTGCAGATGTTTTATGTTGTATCGTTTCACAAAACTAAAGTCAGAGCATTCTGATTTTGTTTTAAAATGTCTAATTATACAATCTAATTTAGATTAAAAAAACTGCTCATGCTGCATGTATACAGCATATTTGCTTGGATTGTGATTCAAATGCAGTTGCCTCTTAAAGGCCAATTCACACCGCACAGACAAATGCCAACAAACAAGTTGGCTGTTGGATTTAGAATTTTATGAAAAATAGCTGTCATGT